AATAGAGGTTTTTGTGTTAGATCGCGTAAATATATAAATGTGTCGTTAAAACCCGCCACCACCCGACACAGCTAACTAGTAAGTGTTGTCACGAACACATAACGTGGCCAATTCGTCACTAGTACAGCACTAACCGGTGTGTTGGAGAGCCAAGCCACAACATTTACAATCTGAGTACGACGTTTCGCCAGAAATTACGACTAGCTTCATCAGGCGACAGCCAGATTTGTGGAGAAGTCTTAATGTTTTGTTCCTTATGTAGAGGCGTAGATGTGGTGACCACGCTTCTGCGCTCTTGCACAATGGGGGGGGGGGGGGATTACTGAGTCAACGTGCATTATGCATGTGCATTATGCGAGCCCTTTGAACTTGTCCTTCCTGTCTATGCACGTGCATAATGTACGCATGTTTTCCAATCCTGCATCGTGCAATGTTTTCCTATTATCTGCAATTTTTTGTTGTTGATAAGTGGAGTAACATTGGGAAGCGTATCCTATCATACGCGGGTCCTGACTGGCCATGTCCCGAACCCCCCAACACGCCCTGCATAAAATTCCATCGCAACTCCTGTTATGTGTCACATTTTCTTATTGTGCAAAAGTGGAGGCCATCTGGGAAAAATGTATCATATTTTCAGTTCACCCACAAACAAGCGGCGTGAATTCGCCGACATGAGGATCCCCAATTGCCATCCCCCACATTGCCGCGGACAGCACACACTTGCTCTCTCATGCAGCATCGGAAGGCACAGCGAAATGAAGACGCACGCTAAACCTACACAATGGTCCCTTCGTGCGGCCAATGGCAAGTGGCCTGACATCATCAAATCATTATGTCCGTGGAATGCCTTTCGCACAGTACGTAGTCAAACCGTGCTATTCGTAGGGGCGAAATTATAGTCGAGAACCCGCTTTGAATAGCCCAGAATTTGTCCAGAAACCTTAGAGGTGTTGTGATTGAGTCCTAGAAATTATGGCAGCAAGAGTAGTTTGTGAGGTCACGCGTATGGGGCAAAACTCCTTTGCTGTCCATGCACGATGACCGACTGCATTAACCTCCAGTCTCCCCGGCCACCTCTTGCATTGTCCATCTCAATGAGCCCTGAGGACAAACGAACGAGTGAACGAACGAACGAACGAATGAAGAGGCGCAAGAGCCGCCGGCGGCGGTGTGGCCAGCGAGGGTGTCCCATGGCCCCCGAGGCTGCACGTCGCGTGAGCCGCAGCACGTCGCTTCCCGGCCCACGCGACGCTGGGAACGACCGGCGGCTATTGTCAGCCCCGGCTCCTCACCGACAAGCAGTGGCCTCGCCGCTCGCATGCGGTCCACGCAGGAGACGCGGACGGCATCGCCGCCGCGAAGCACTTCTTCGTGTTGTGAGACGGGCACACAAACTCGAGTGCGGAGAGAGGGTGCTGACACGGTGAGAACAGTCAGCGGCGCTGGACTTGCAGTGGGAAATTTGCTTAAATCCAAGCCCACCCCCAGCTCACCCCCCTGTCTACCCAGCAGCGTGCGTGGCTATACTGCAGTGTACGTCGCGTGTGGTGGGGGAAGGGTGGGATACTCACACCTCTTCTAAGATGTCTGGCCAGCATGGAAAAGTAGGCCAAATACAACTTCATACGGGCTCTCTGGAGCTCCCCCTAATCGATGCCCTTCCGCCAGCAGCGGAGTGAGTGAGCAATTGCAGGGGCTGCACCTCTTGCCTTTACCTCGGACGCAAGTGAAATGACTGGCTGTTGTAGAAATGTTAATATCTCTAGAATATTCTTGGTTCTTTCGGTAAAGTCACGTAGAAGGGAAACAATAAAATAATAAAAAATATAAAACAATAAAATTCTCACGACGTTTCGACTGCAACACAAGCAATCATCATCAGGTGTGAAAAACACAGCAAGAACATTTGAAAAAAGTGGCGGTTTTTTCTTAATGTTAGCACCACGGACAGCGATTTTGGCAGTTGTTCAGATGGACGAGTCCATCTATGTAAAAAAATTACTACAATGATGATGTCATCATCGCGTGTATGACCTTCTACTCCGTGCAGAGTAAGTGTGCTCCTCCCCAGTGTCATTCGCAATCATCGTTCATGCGCTGCCAGTAAGTTATTACATCCCAAAAAAATGACCACCTGTGGTCACGTGATTTTGTTATAAACACCACAGGCTGATTTTCCCCAGCAGTCTCCGATCCAGCGACTACACCGGGCACAAGCGTCACGGTGGGCTCCCGAGATTCGGCGCCTTCAGGCTGATCTCGTTAGAGGCAACACCAGGCTCTTTCCAGAGTCCCTTGCAAACGTCATCACGCTCGCCGCAATCATTCCCGGCGAGGTGGAACTACAAACGAGATTCGCTCCGGGAGCGGGATGACGCAGGAGGCCCCGTGGCTCATGCACGGCCCAGTGAACGCAGGGAGCAGGCCAGGTAGGCGGTCGGGGGAAGGGGGGGCAAACGGGAGGCCCTTTTTTTCCCCGACGCAGCGTGAAAACCCAGGGGGGTTGCTGCCTCTGATTTCAAATTCTTTTCTCCAAGCGGTTGCCATTGATTCCGCGCGCGTGTGCACGTGCGTGCGTGTGTGAGTGCGTGTGTGTGCGTGCGTGTGTGCGTATTTTGGAGAGCGCCTTCATAGGTGCTCGCTAACAGCACTTGCCCCAACAGTCTATTGTTAAGGCTAAAAGAGGAGTTCTTTGTCTCTGTCTTTGTGCCGTGCAAGCCTGTGATGCACGCGGCAGTTACACCGGCAGCGATTGTGAAAATACCCTTGGCCGTGTATGGGTCAGCTGAGGGCAGCAGCCCACAAGGGTAGCACGCTATTGATACGACAAGTCGTTTGTAAATGAGACCTTAGGGGTGAATTAAATGCAAAAAAAAGAGTCAATTTTTTTGTTCAAAATTAGCATTGAGGCGGTGCTCGTCTATTCGCAGTCCTTAGCCAGTAATGTAAATTCCACATTACTATGGCAGGGGCGAATCCCACCACAGGACACTCGCCGTTGATTTCCCACAAAGTGGCACTCATTTGATCGATCCCGGGATGAGGCGATGATGCCGCTGAGTCAACCCCCAACCCGGGATTTGAACTCGCGTTGAGCCACGTGGCTGGTCGAGCGACCCGGCTGGAAACGATCAGAAGTGAGGATGTGAAATAACCAGGTTTGTCCGTGCATAACGTCATGGAAAGATTGCGCACGAGAACTTGCAAATTGAAGGAACGCTCAAAGTCTGTAAAGCAGAAGCTTCAAGAGTTAGCGGGTTGAGGGAGCAACCGTTTCGATTTCAAGCTTTCGTGACTGCAGGGATTCATCTTCTTGGTTCTTTCGGTAAAGTCACGTAGAAGGGAAAGTAATAAAATAATAAAAAGAAAACACCAAGTAGAGGAGCAACCGTTGTTGTGCGATACACGTATTTGCGATGACCGTTAAACACGAAGCCTGACCGACAGACTTTTATATTCGGTAACAAAGGAAGGGACCAAGATGCAGTCAACAATGCACAGATAAATTTTAGGTCAGACATGAGGCTAAATTCAGTGGCAGATTTTACCCGGCGAGTTTAGGTTTGGAGCAGGTTTGTACATAGTGGAATCTGAATGAATAGTGATGGACATCTACAACAAGAGCGATATAATTCATGGATATTTATGGGGAAAACACGATTTAATTGAGTGCAGATATCTGCATTCATGGATATATTATATTTAATTTATGCTATTATATGTATCTGAACTATATCACCATTAAGAGCCCCTTTCCCAAGATCATTAAAATGACTCTGTCCATCTAACCATATTCTGAATAATATCCAAAATCAAGTGAATACATATTTTTTTAAATATAGAAAATAAAAGTGTACTCGTGCTCGAATACCTGTGGAGCGGAATCTTATTTATATTGGTGGCCCCCAGAGCCAGTGGTGGCAATTCCACATTCCTATGGTGAAGCCCAGGAGATCCGTATGATAACCGCCAGTGACGTCACACACTGCCGTACTCGCTTTGTTAACCCCGTTCGGAATGATGAGCCGAGTCGATCCCCTACTGGGATGTGAACTTACATCCCACCAAATGTGGGTTGAGTATAATGCGCATACAACACACAAGACAACAAAGCTCACTCGCCTAACCATTCACACTCTCTCGGTTGCGTGAGCGAACAAGCCGGGCACAGCCACTTCATGGCGGAGGGGGCTGCCGGGACTAAGTTAAGCGCGATGCTGTGAGTGAAGCTGCGCCTGATGATGCATGTCAGGGGTAGAATAGCAGGTTGCCATGCGGCATTACATTGAGCGGTAGACGCTTTTACACCATTGGAACCTCATTTGCCAGTAGCAAAATATGATAATTGATTTTTTACCCTTTTATCTGACAACAAAACTGACACCTTTTTTATTTACAAGGAGTCATGTTTGAATTGACCACAATACCTGCAGTCAGGATACAAAAAAAGTGTCAGTTGTGTTGCCAGATAAAAGGGTAAAAAAACAATTATTATCGGTGACGCTTTGTGCGACGGGGTCTGTGATGCTGCCTCACGATGCTGCAAGTCGGTGATCTGTGATTGATGCTGTGCTGCCAATGTTGCCCGCGTGATGATGCACGTGAGTAACGAAGCGTGCAAGTGACGCCGTGTGTGATGCTGTGTAACGCTGCAGTCGGTAACCTGTGTGATGCTCTGTGTGATGCTGCTGTGCCTGTGGTATTGTCTGATGACGCTTAGCTGTGATGCTAATAATATTAAGAACTTGTAACGCGCTGCCGCTGTACGATGCTCACCCGCTTCTCGTAGAGACGGAATGACTCAGAGGTACGAGGAACCACAGGACAAAGTGAGAAGGCAGCCAACAAGGCAGAGGGGCCAGTGCCAACGTTTCTTCCAAGCTCTGCGATCCTCTATGTTAAGCTGCTATCGGCCAATGAATGAGTATTTACACTTGGAAGGAAACCGAAGCACCTGGAGAAAATTCACAAATGTGAGGGGACAACACTCGATCCCGTACTGATGCAACAGGTGGAGTCAACATTTTGATGTGCCACTCGTCTCCTGGCGAGCCTAGGGTATGGCACGTCCCCGACGCCCTCCGGAAAGGGAGCGTCACAACATCTTTGGGGTGATCTGCCAATGCTCACTGCCTCCAAAGTGCTGGATCACAGGCCACATGCGGCATAACCACCACCGCCCAACTCATCACACGATGCTAACGTGTGTGATGTATGTGCGAGTGACGCTGGAAGAGGGTGACGCTGTAGCGAGCGGTGCTGTGCTGCGTGCTACCTGCCACTCCTTGTAGTCCGCAGTACTGCAGAATGCGACGGCATTTCTCTTGAGGGGCCATCTTGCTCCTCAGAGGGATCAGCACCAAGGACAGCTCCCTGTACCTGTCAACATGGGAACCACGTGTCAATTAGCGTGTCAAACCGCGTGTCAATTCGCGTGTCAAACCACGTGTCAAATCACGTGTCAATTCCTTTGCAAGGCCTCCCCCAATATGGGATTGTAACCACTGTGGCGCAGGCCTGCTGTTTATAAGATGGCGTTTTGGTGGGAAAGCCAAAATCACCGTCAACCTACAAACCACGGTCGACATAAAAAGTTATAAGTTACAAACAAACTCAATAAGGATTTCCTGAGCGAAAAAAACCCAGAATAATAATACAGTTGAACCAGAGCATCACCACACCGCACAACATTCATTCAGGATACGCCCTCACAATTATGAGACGACCGAGGTGAGCTGCAAGTAGGAATTAAACGGGTCCCATCCAGATATTACACGACTGCTCGAGACGAGCGCTCATGAGGGATTGCCAGCATTTGACCTTGGGGGACCTTCGTCCTTTACGTCAAACTGTCTCCGCGCGCAAATGAGCGTGGGAGCCTCACTCATCTCTGACTGGTGGCACTGATTCGATGGTAGACATTCCACGTTCATGTGGCATTGGCCAGTTTATCCTTTACTAGCACTGGAAAGACCGTCTCTATGCAATTTCAGAATATTTTATTTTATCCATGGAGAAATCCGATGAGCTATGAAGCTCTTTTTCCACAGATGTCCAGTAGTAATGGTTTTCAGAGTATCACGATGTGCACGAATGTAATAGACTCTTTATCGTGATAATTCGTTGAATCGCTGATGGGATGGGATGGCGAATATCTCCACGCATAGTCAAATCACCCATAAGAGGTTGAGCATTTGGTGATCCTGGACCGATTTTACCTTCCAAGCCATCCTTACTCCGCCTGTAACAGACATCGGCTGACCAGCAAGCAGGATTCCTTCCTTAATTGGGGTTCCGCAGTGGCAAGATATTCACTACCTCGCCTGGTATCCAGAAGGTCATGGGTTTGATCCCGACCCTGACGCCTGTTGTATATTTGGAGTTTGCATGTTCTCACCGTGGTCACGCAGATTTGTCTTCGGGTTTACCCTCCACGGTCAGAATCAACGTGCTATCATTTGTGGCCAGGTCGCTTCTGAAAATATATATCTCAGTGGGCCTTAAATGGTAAAATGAAAATGAGTTTAGTGCGATGAACGTAAATTCTGGTCCCCGTTCAATCGCCATAATTCACGGAACGCGGACGACAGCAAAGTGCACGCAGACCGCCCGTCTTTACTGCCCCCCCCCCACAGTGACCACGTGCCCCCCATTAGGAGGATGTAATGGCCCATGGGGAGCCCTGGGGCGATGCCGCGAGGTCAAGAGGTGGGGCCGTGGTTGTGTGTTCACACGGCACCCCTGGGACAGTCTACCGGCTGGCCCACGGGCATCAGTGCGGGCTAGGGTTACTTAACTTTTAATGTATTGCTCAGCTACAATGGCGTTTCCGTTCTGGAACTGTGCTGATGTATATTGGTCAACGCTGTTATACCCCGCTGACTCCCTTCGGCGGTTCTCACGTGATCCATTGTTACACCTGTAATGCTGCTTACAACACAGACACGTGTTTCCCTTGCACAATGGGCTCACGTTTAAAAGGCGCATCATCTTACACAATCACTCGACAGAAGTCGGTCACCTCACCTGTACCAGTGAACTAAATTAACCCGATGTGTTGACTGAATAAAGTCTCGGGAGTGAACTAGGCTGAAGTGAAATAAAAACAAACTAATAAAGGAATGTCTTTATGTTGCACATTCATACATGGCCAGACTCAGGTAATTAAACTCTGATATATTGATTTGAAGCTTTCGTGACTGGAGGAATCCATACTCTTTAGTTCTTTCGGTAAAGTCACGTAGGTATAAAATATATTAAATCACGACGTTTCGGGCGCAATACAAGCGTCCAGTCATCAGGTGGGACAACCACAGCAAGAAACAATTGCTGAAGTGGACAAAAGAGCTGCTGTAACAAGAGGCTATATAGGTAAGAAACTTTACCGAAAGAACCAAAGAGTATGGATCCCTGCAGTCACGAAAACTTCAAATCTAGATGGATTGTTTTATTTTATACCTACGTGACTTTACCGAAAGAACCAAAGCGTTTAAACTCCTGATACTTGAAGACCAGTTTTAATCAAAAGCGATCATCATCATCATCACCATCTGTTCCCTTTCTGCAGCTCATTAACGACAATGGGACTTGACAGATTTCCACCACCGTTCTCTGTCTTTAACCAGTATCACTGCGTCGCTCAGTCTCAATCATTTCCCTCCAACATCTTGAACCGTTGCCTCGATTTCACCGTCTTGGCCTCTACTCCTGATTCCTTCCATTTTTGTAATCACACGGCCAAGTACAGGATCCATGTTCGGGGGGATCAGTCTCATGACGCATCCAAAACCACGCCATTCTTCTTCCCTGCACTTAGTATCACGTCGTTGTTTTTCCTGGCAATTCGAGTGAGCTATCAGAACTCGAACCCAGGCTATCCCAGCGAAGCTCGCTCACGGCTACGACAGGGGAGGATCATTAGGCCCCAGAGACACCCGGCCACACCTAGGACACTAATAGCATTACCGTTTTAATAGCATATTCCCGTCCACCACAAGCAGAGGAAATGCCAGCCCGAGTGTAAGTGGCTGTCGAGTTGGGTGTAATTGAGACAAGTCATTAGGACGATACACCAGTGAGCGTGTGCATGGGAGACCCGGTGTCCCATTACATGCTTGAACCTGACGCCAGCAGAAGGCACGACAATCATCATCTGCAAGTGCAGAGGACAGGAGCGAGGCAGCTGCCCCATTACGGGCGTCATTATTGTCTCTGGCAACTGATCTCATTCTCGGGGGAAATGTGGAAAATTCTAAAATATTTCTCGCCACGGCCGCACGCGCTCGCTCGGCTCAGCCAGCGGAGGTTTGACGTCCCGTCCATAATCTCGTATTCATTATTTTCTTCGATGAATGTTGTTGTGTGAGCAGTCGTTTGTTTGTTTTTCACGATTTGTTCTGCAGTGTACGACGCGCCGGTCGATTTTGTTGCCGAAGGCGCCGTCTGGATACAAACACCGATTTGTTCGCAAACGCACGCGAAACGTCGATTCATTTGCTTATGTGCGTACATCGCAAATGTGCGTTTAACTCATTAGCCCGGAGGGAGTAAACACCTTGCTTGTACACAGAAACATTGCCAAGGTGGAAAACGAAATAACTTTAGCAAAGGAATTGTCCAGGTATTTGGGTGTGCTCAAGAGTAGAGAAATGTTGTCGATCTGCTGCCACAATATGTTTTACGCAGAACACAGAGATGAAAGCCACTGATGTCCAGCAGACAGGACCGCTGGTTCAGGTCTCATTATTAAAACCTACGCACAGTACTGGGTGAGCGTCGGTGCAGTGCCAACGGCTGAGCTCTGGCTCTGAGAGAAGACAGTGCCCTCTGCTGATGGCAGACAAGAGGCTTCATGTGCCATGGATCCCAGTCATAGGACCAGGCTCAGGTAAGGTTCTCATCAGGGTAATAATATTTATGAGCGGCGCAGGTGAGAGCCAGACGATCGTTGTCTATCGGTGTCGACTCCAGCCGGTTACTTTGTTTTAATTTTCGATTTAAAGCTTTCGTGACTGCGGCCACAAGTTTATGCCGATTTTGCAAGAAGCGTCAAATGAAAACCAGGCATGAGACAGTTAATAGATGATCGGCATATCGACAAGGCCATGCTGAAAATAGTAGTGCATGATGATGATCATCATCAGCCATGATCAATCCACTGCTAGACGATGGCCTCTCTGTGTCCTCACCGATCTTACGATGCTGCGATGTAATAATTCACCTAGCACCTGCACACGAGATGATATCATCGTTCCATCTCCTCAGTAGACGTCCCTTCAGAGGCGTTCCATGACTGCATGGTATGATTGTACGAGTCACCTGAAGCCTCATCCAATCACTTTTAACCTCATCATTTGTACACAACCAATGAAAGGTACATTGAACAAAAGTACAAAAGAAATGACCCGTAAATATGTCAAAGCCATATCTAGAAATGGGAAAGTTATCTAAAATGTGTACAAACCTTTGACGATCATCATGATGAACTGTTTTGCTCCGTTTTTTTTGTCTTGGTCAAAGGCCACAGGCTATGCTTGGCTCACCATTACTACAACGTTAGGCTCGACTGGTCCCTTGTGGTCAGTCAACTCACGACTCTACACTGAACACACACCCAGGCCCTCTGACTCACAGCCTCACTGACTCACAGATGAACAACTTGTATTTCTTGCAATGCAGGTGGCCCACTTTGGTAATTTTCAGAACAACGCTGGGTCAGGGAAATGGAATTTAGCCGGGTGGTGGTGGCTATGCACGTGGCTTATTATCCAGCCCCGTGGAGGCAGCCGCGAGGGTTGGTGGGTCACCACACAGATGTTGTAAATCTCCCTTCCCGTGGGCCTCGAGGAGGTGCCGTCCCCTGGCTCGCCAGGAGAAGGCGGTACAGCCAAGTGTAGCCTCCACCTGTTCCGTCTGTACGGGACAGAGGGTTATCCCCCTGGCACAAGTGAGTTTTCTCCGGGAGCTCCAGTTTCCCACCACAAGTAAACACCCATTAATTCGCCGATAACACCTTCATATATAAGAGGACTGCAGCTCTTGGCAACTGTTGGTGCCGGCTAACCACGTTGTTGCTGCCTTTCCCACTTCCCTCTGGTTCCTCGCCACTCTGAGAGGTTTTCTCTTCTTCGAGAGCGAGAAAATCCTACGCGACGGCGCGTCACAATCCGGGAAGATCATTGTCATTATAATCACGTGATTGGAACATCTGAAACTGTATAAACTGGTGCAACGAGCGGCTTGCACCTCACGCAAGCCCTTTTGTCCCTTTCGCTCCCCATCGACTGCAGACTTCCTGCGGGCAAGTGCAGCCTTCATGCTGCCTAGCTTAGAGATCTGGGTGGGGGGGCCCGCACTGCATACGCCATCCCCTGTCACCTCCTCCCGGCCACTCACGCCGAAAAGACAGCGTCCTCGGACAAGCCTGAACGTTTCCATTAGCGCTGCGCAGCGCACAAATGTCAGGTCTTTAATTACAAGGTGACCATCGTACCTGCAGATCAATGGGACGTTAATGGTTACATTTGCCGGGGCTCAATTTAAACCTGCCCACCGGAAACCCGAGCTTCTGCTTGCGATGGGGCAGCAAGGGCTCAGCCACGTGATAGCGACGAATCAACCTGTTTTAATTCGCCACAGCCCACAAGATGCCACCTGACGGACGTGCGGGCACAATGCCCACGGCAAACGAGAGTTGAAGGCAACAGCGGGAAAAAGGAGGTCCACAGAAGCGGACCGGACTGGGTGTCACTCGGGAATAATTTGGACGTACGAATGCAATGCCAACAGCTCCTCCGTTTACAGAAATAGGCGGAGGAAGAACTCCGGAATGGCCTGAGGAGCCACGAGACCTCGCAGAGCCTGGGATGGAGAGGAGAGGAAGACATTTCTGGAAAAATATCGGGTTTAGAGCCAGTCAAGCACATACATTGCCGAGAGGTGCAGACTGAAAGTCCGGTGACGTGATCTACGGCAACCGGGCCTCGGTCCATCAGACTGCGTCGTCTCAGTTGCAGCACTGTGTTCAACCCCCAAACACCCCCCCCCGGTCCTGCCACCCACCCCATCTCCCCCCCCCCTTGTACCCCGCCCTGCCCCCCATCTTGCCCTACTTACCCCCCCCTCCCCTTACCGTCCCGAGACATTGTCGCAAATCAGATTCGGGATTCGATTCAAGAATTTTGGCGAACGCAGTGGCCGCTCGTGGTTGCCGGGGTCACGTGAACTCATTACAGGCAATGCACAAATAGAAACGAACATCGATTCTTGCACATGGGGGTCGCGATTCATGGCTCGAATTTACATGAACGAGTTGGTGCGTTGGAAGCCTCGCGACCGAAGGCAAGAGAATTTCAATTCGCCGTGATCAAAGTTGCTGTCGCCCTCGTATTTCTGCAATCGTTTCCTGGACAATTGGCGATTGTGAAAGTTGCTGGGTTTTTCACCATTTGTTTCTCATGATATTGGAGCGTGGACACCAAAGCTAGGGATACGTGTGTATGGATATGCACGTGTGTTGAACTTCATTCGCACCGTGCGTAGCCAACCGTGCTAATTGGAGGTAGGTCATCGTGACCTCTACGGCAACAGGCCACGGGCAAAGGTCCTTGCGGCCTGAGGTTCAAGGCTCATGTTGGCCCCAAAGTGGGGCCTCATAACCATGGGTGCCCTCTCATTTGTCTTAATTTAAATTGTGCAAATTTGAGATTTAGGTTATCACATTCGCATTACTCTTGTGACTGATGCCACGGCGCGACCGACGACCGCATCGTGCACACCATGGGCTGCTGTAGGAATCAAACTCGTCCACGAGGCTCGGTGGAGACGGCGTTCGGCATGGAGGATAAACCACGAGCCGGCTTGCGCGGCGGTCAAACGTGCACTCGTTTCACCTCGCCGCTCACGCGCGCACACACACACGCGCGCGCACACACACACGCGCCCCAGGGGACTCTGGTTAAGGTGTAAACACCGTCGAGCTCGCAGGGTGATGGACACGTGAAGCGCGCAACGAGATTTTACGTCCTTCAACATCACACATCAACGGGCCAATTACGTAGCGCTGCACACTCGCCTCGATCGAGGGTTGAAGGCGAGCGACCGAGCGAGCGACCGAGCGAGCTGGTCTCGTTGCCGCTATTTTGACACGCGGCTGTTTCTATTCCTCTCCTTGAAATGTATTTTTAATACGCGGCGGTGGCCCGGCGCACGCAGGCGGTTGATCACAGCGGCCGTGCCCCTCGTGCGCTCGCGGGGAGGTGGAACCTAAAAAGGATTCCGGCGGAGTCCTCCGGAGCAAAGCGGCGTGGCGACCTTCGCGGATGAAAGCGACGGGGCCGGTTGTCACCGGCGGAGGAACGGCGCGCGCGGGACGACAGATCCCGGCACGCCGGTGACCTTTCCACGCTCGGCCCGTCAGCGACGCCACGTTCGCTTTCATTTTCTTTTTCCCCAGGGGATACATTTTTTTTTTCCAGCCGAATGAGCGAAACGTCAGAACGTGCGTCGGGGACGACTGTTGATGATGATGTTGTTGTTGTAGCCGCCGTTGAAACCCGTGGCTTCGGGGAGGCAACGGAGAGGAATGTCTCGGGGTTAAACCTGGAAGGAATCGGGAACTCCACTCCTTCATGGCCGCTGTGCACCAAGGACCCTTGCTTCGTGCGCTACGCGATCATTTGGCATGACAGCATTGTTTACTAAACATCGATAATGATTATTATCTGTACGCTGTTGTGTCTAAAGACCTGCAATTGCACCAGCATGCTGTGCAAGGCAACCTTGAAAATATGAAAAAAAAATTGGCGATTACGCTGCTGCATTGTGAGTGGTGCACGCGCACCTTTAAGAAACGCACAGATCCGTCAACAAACACTGCGGCCTTAAAAGGAGAACATGTATAATAGGTGACGTTTCTGGCAATAGCCCTTCATGTGCTATGAAGAAGGGCCCCGATGTTAAATACAGTTTGTTATTTTAAGGCCACACAGTGTTGTTGACGAATATGTTGAGTTTTATTTATTTATTTATGTATAAATAAAATAATTATTTTAACTTATAAAACACCCTTAAACGATCGTTCTCAGGGCGCTAAACAGCATGGACAAAAGCAAACGACACACCGGCAAAATCCGAATGATTCCCTTCAAACATCTACAGATATTCTGCCCGCCGCGAATCAGAGAGGAGAGATCACCCCCGACCATCACCAGCACCCCTCGGGGAAGAGAGGGAAGGCAACGTGGCCCAGCCTGGCAGGGGGCAGTTCTGCGCCAGGGCACCGTAGGGATTCGAGAGCGAGGCTCGTGCGACCCAAGACGGCGACTCGCGACGTCGTCGAGGCTGCGTTGGCCACGTCGTCTCTTTCCGTGTCGCTCGCTGCTGTGATCACAGAGGCCGGGCGAGGTTGTCAGCCACTGCCACGAGCTGGACGCTCGGCGAGGGTAGAGGTCAGTCAGGGGTCAAGGCCGGGAGATGTCGTGCATTGCTCGACGACGTTCAAGTACGAAGATAAAAAAAACGCCGTCCGCTCGGAGGAGCCGTAGCCGAGGTGACAAGAGGACACGGGGCTGCTTCGTTGGAAATCGGTCTTCGATCGATCGCTTTTAGTCTTTTCCGATTGATTTTATTGTGCCCTCAAGAAGGGCCATGTACCGAAACATCGGCCTATTATATATATATTTTGTCACGGCTTTCAATATTAAGGTCAGGCACAATTGGAGGCACTGCACAGAGAAGAGGCAGCCACCGGTAGCAAAGAGGTGGAAGGTCACAGTGCATTGTTAAGCATCGACCAGCACTCATCGCTGAGAGCAAGCTACGCGGTGATTGTTTCAAATCGATGCCACAAATCCACCATCCAGTCAAACTCCAATTATTATCCATGACAATTTGGCAATGGCTCGGTACGGCACCTTGAGTTGTAGTTTTATTTTAACACCGTAAGGGGTAATGGTGCGGCCCTGCGATTGCTTGCTTAAACCGCAGCGCAGCGCGCTAACCACTACAAAGACAAAGATCCGCCGTATAGCCTTACCAGACTGTAGAAGCGAGTGCTGTTAGCGAGCACCTATAAAGGCCGGCACGGCACATGAGGGAGTGGATGGCCAACACCGCGCCCGGCCGCCTTTATCTCCCGAGTAACGATGTATAAACATCGCACCTGGTACGAATTTGAGTCTGAGTCGACCTAGGGGAGGCTCAGGACCTGTTCACATAATAGTCACTGATGTTGGCCGTGAGCGGCAATCAAACCCGGGTCGCCAGGTTCATAGCGCAGCGCAGCGCTAACCGCCACGCTAACACACACACACGCACGCAGCAACAGAAACTGCACCAAACAGAGACTCAGCGCCGGGCAACGCACCGGTCCAGGAAGTCGGCGAACGGGAGTCGCGCCGGGAACCCGAAGCGGCGCAGGCGGACGGTGTGCAGCACCCGCGCGTGCCGCAGCTGGGCCGACACCAGCTCGGCCTCGAAGGCGTCGGGCCGGCCGGCCTCGTTGGGACGCACGCAGCGCAGGTGGTGCTGGGTGCAGCCGCCCAGCCGAAGCAGCGCGTCGCTCAGCGACATCTGATGGGGGCCGGCACGGGGGTGGTACGGTCACTCGGGGAGACAAGAGTCTTCAACATGGGTGAAGGAATCAATGAGGTAAGGTCACTGGGAACAGTAACCAAGGTAGGAGCGATATGAGGGTGGTAAAGGATGCGACCGATCGCCGGAGAGCGAGTCGGTGAGTGCTGGATCATCAATGACCGCGATTGTAGAAACATTCTAGAATTATCATTAGCAGCAACCATTATGAGTCCACTGTTTGATGAAGAACTCCAACCCCGTCAGCATCTCGCATAATGCTGCGATCCAACCTTCTATTAGCCGATGTCATCGCTCCGTCTCAGCGATGGACATTGTCCGAGGTGAGTTGCCAATGTTGTTAATCTCATCTCTTCGCGCAATGTCTCCTGCCCAAGCTCACTCACGTAATTATAGCAGCAGACGTATTTTTCAAGTCGAATCAACCACTAACTTATTGAATTTTTCAAACATTCCAATGCAGCACCCTCCACTGGAATGTCTTGAGACTTGGCGAGTCTTTTGCTGGATAAATAAAGGAACATTATTCTTACTGCCACATCAGCTGGCACCAAACTCCTCTCTCTGGCCCATGTAACGGTAACCCCCCTCCTCCCTCTGAGCACTTCATGAGCACGGCCGTTCGTGACCCCACCCCACCCTCCGTAAGGTCACGCTCGCAGCTCGGCCTCTCAGATAAATTCACTCGCAAGCGGCGAGCACAGGTGACGGCACGGGGCGGGGATGTGACGGCCACCAGCGGCGGTGATAGCGTCGAGGGTCACGCGAAAGCGACCGAGCACTTTGCACCGCCACGCTCCGTGGGGGGGGGGGGGGGGGGGGGCAGTGTGGGGTCTCTCGCCTGTAATGCTTCTCTCAGCGGGGGGCTGATGCCTCTGCCTCGAAGCCGTTTGCTCTCACGTCTGGTGGTGTCATCGATCAGCTGTGGCCTCCGCTTTTTTCCGATTACACCACCCACGGGTATGGTCCGGAGTTATTGCAACGTTTGCACACGTATTTTGTAATTTCTGTATCTCAGTGAGCAAGGTTTTATTTTTACAGTAGAAATCCGGGAATTTTTAGTCATCTCTTGGCAGGATGAATATGAGAGGTGGGATTTAGACTGATAATGTCATAACGTGCGCTCCGTGTTTGCATAAATGAAATATGTGCTGCACGTGCCCGTGATTTGTATGTTGAGCTAGAATGTTTATTCATGTTGCTGAGTAAAGATATCTTGTGCATTTATGTGTTTATTTTCAATATTTGTTTTTTGGTCTTATTCCTATTCATAATCTGCTTTTGCTTCCAGTGTCACGTCACGGGATGGAGTGTTCATTCAGACCTCTCTCTCAGCAGTGCATACCCAGTCTGTTATAGAATGATCCGCAAAAGGAGATATCACAGAACCACTTCTGAATTCCCTTCACGTTACGTTTTCCTCCCAGCACAAAAGGGAATGGTGGACTATTCCATATTCCCTACCAAAAAAATATATATATATATTTTGCTCACAAATCAAGCAGATGTCTTTTTTTTTACTCGTGAAAATTTAAATTTAACATACATGTTTGTGTACAGTTATTTTTGACCAGGCTGAAACCAGCAACTCATTACAATTGGGATCCGTATTAAATCATGGCGTTGGGTGCTTGGATGCGAACCCAGGATCTGAGTGGTGCCGGGCTCAGCGCTCCGACCCCTAGGCCACCCGGCTAACTCCATTACTTTCCCATGCGTACGGAATACAAAGTGTGGTCTCCCGGATGAGGTCGTGAGTTGATCAGTTCTTCTCTGAAGCTCTCTCCACGTGCTAACACAGGCATCTGCAGGTGCTGATGAGGCCACCACTGCGCTCGGTTTAGCACACACACCCTGCCACCGGTAGAGCTGCTACATTCACCACAAAGTCAGAAACATTCGATGCTTGAATTGAATCGTGATCATGGATCACGAAAATGTGCCAAATCACACGGGGGGTAAAATCGTTCTGAAGCTTTACTACACTGTGCAAATTGCCAGCTGCACGTGATAACAGGGGCGACACGGTGGTGAGATGTTAACTACCTCGCCTGATATACAGGAGGTCGTGCGTTCAATCCCGACCCTGACGCCTGCTGTATATTTGGAGTTTGCCTCTTCTCACCGTGGTCGTGTGGATTTTTCTCAGTCGGGCTCTCTGGTTTTTCCCTCCACATTTAGAAAGAGGCGTTTCGATTATTTGGCCGCGCAAATTTCCACAAGATAAGCCACTTCCTCGAACTATCATTGGTGGCCACGTCGCTTCTGAAAAATAGCTACATAGCTCAGTGGGCCTTTCTTAGTAAAATAAAAAAGCAGATTATGGTTTATACATAAGCTCCTGCCCCAGATTACGATCATCATCGTCGTCGTCATCATCAGCAGGTGTACTCACCCGCAGCTGAGACGTGAGTGTCAGTTGCTGCCCCTGATTACGATCATCATCATCATCGTCATCATCGTCGTCGTCGTCATCATCAGCAGGTGTACTCACCCGCAGCTGAGACGTGAGTGTCAGTTGCTGCCCCTGATTACGATCATCATCATCATCGTCATCATCGTCGTCGTCGTCATCATCAGCAGGTGTATTCACCCGCAACTGAGACGTGAGTGTCAGCTGCTGCCCCTGATTACGATCATCATCATCGTCATCATCGTCGTCGTCGTCATCATCAGCAGGTGTACTCACCCGCAGCTGAGAGGTGAGTGTCAGCTGCTGCCCGTGCTCCAGGCTCTCTGCCAGGCTGCTGGCTTCGCCCTTCTTCTTGAGCAGCTGCAGGAGGAAGAAGGAGAGAACATAGCGACAACGCGTTTGGAGTTCGCCGACACGACAGCTATCTCACAGGTGCGACGCGGGCGGAAAGGTACGACCAGCACGCTTTGGCTATGTACGGTGTGAAAGAAGGTCAACATACGTACACTCGTGTACGACGAGGGTTACGCACCGATGCATCTGTTTCATGCAGAGTCAAGATCAAGACGCCATCGTGGCCAAAGCTGTAGATGCCACCACCACACCTCGCTCAAACGCATTCTACCAAACGCATTTTGACCGCAAGTGTTGTGGTTAATGCAAACATGATCTTTGTATAAAAGTTTTGTTGCCAGATAAAAGGGTAAAAACCTATTACTATATCTTGCTAATGTCAAAGGAGGTCTCATAATGTAAATGCTTACTCCGAGCTCTCAATACTCTGATGGTGCATTGTCTTTGAGTTGTGCGCCTATTGGCGTCATCTGGTTCAACACCATGGGAAAATGGGCTCTAAGAAAAGCTGTCTCGGGTGTGGACCAATCAATTTCAAGGACAGTGCATACATTATCAGAGTTGACTTTTTGTTTGCATTTTGACTGCAAGTGTTGTGGTCAATACAAACATGATCCCTTGTATAAAGGTGTCAGTTTTGTTGCCAGATAAAAGGGTAAAAACCTATTACCAGATCCCAGGTATCGACAAAAGTTTTGGTTGAGTATGTACGAGTCGCGATAGCGTGTGATGCCACTTGAGTGATTCAGCAGCATGCCGTGGATGATGTGTAGTGAAGAGCAGTGTGTGATGTCACTGCAGTGTGACACATTCATTCCTTAAAACATTCCACCTGGATAATTGCTTCAGATGGAACACTTTATTTGCACGGGTGTCCAGGGTGCCAGCTCACATATACGTAGCAAGCACGTGTCGACGCGGGGAGAATCATTTCAAATCTAGAACTTGTTGCTTTGCTGTGAGAAGGCACGGCAGTGCCCACCCCAGCCTCACTTGGCTGGAGCCATCGTGAAGCCGGTAAGATCATCTGACAAAAAAACGAATTTGAAGCATCACATCTTCCAAAGCATTGCAGCTCGCGAGCTGCAGCTGGCACTGTGCAGTTGGACCCAGAGCTCGCCTCGTCACAACGCATCGGACGCCTAAGCGCGATGAGTTCGGTCGCACGACGGCGTAACCGCAATTGCAGCGACGAGCAGCCGGGCTCCGAATCGTTCATCGCCGCAGCGGCCATCGCATTCCACTACCGGACCCACCGATTCGAACTCGGGTCGTGCGCGCGAGCGAGCGAGCACGGTTACAAGATGCACGGACGCCTCTCTCTCACGCTGGACGCCGAGAGTAATTCCGAGGGTGATTCCTGCGGCGAATTCTCTTCGCAGAACTCCCCCCCCCCCCCCGCTTCTGATTACCGAAGCTAATTCGACCGCGGACCCCGGGCGTATCCAGCGCGGCGGCGATGGCGCTTATTGCGGCTAACGGCTCGCTTATTGCTTCCCATCGATCAGTGGCCCCCGCGGTTCCGGGGGGGGGGAGGTTCCTTGCGAGGGGGGCTAGAGGGGGAGTGCCGCGCTCACCGCAGCGGCGGCAGTGGCGTCTTAGTGGGACGAGCACCGCGTGTGGCTGGTATCTGACGGAGTCGACGCGGCTCCGCTCGTCGCGACGCGCGACAAGCGGCGGGGTCAGGCCTGACACAGCAGGGGCGGGAGGAGGACCCTGCCTCGCTTTGCCCAACACGCATGAATATATAATAAAATGCAATGATTCCACATTGTGCCATGGATTGTACGTTTCTTTTTGAGTTTTTGGGAAGTGTTATTAAGTTATTGATAGTCGTATTTTTCTAATTTAATTTCCTTACAGGGTAAAGCCCACTCAGCAATTAACTCGTTTTCAGAGGCAACCTGGCCATACATGCCAGACACGACAGCTCCTCGAAGTGGCTATATCATCATCATCACCATCACACGTGGGGATTTATAGCAGCAGCCAAATAAGGGAAAGACATTCATCTTCTTGGTTCTTTCGGTAAAGAGTCTGACTCTGTCGAGGAGACAGAGTCAGACTCTGTCTCCTCGACAGACCTGTTCTCCACTTGAGGACGGCTACTTGCGTTGTGGCCGAAACGTCGTGAGAATTATTTTATTATGTTTTATTTTTATTATTTTATTATTTCCATTCTACGTGACTTTACCGAAAGAACCAAGAAGATGAATCCCTGCAGTCACGAAAGCTTTAAATTGAAAGGGAAAGGCATGTTTATAAATGTCGAGGGGGGGAGGGGGGGGGGTGGCACAAAACTGGAAGGACCTGGGGAAAAATCCACGCGACCACCAAGGTGAGAGAGAACACGCTAACTCCAAATATACAACACTTGGGTCATCTACATCATGGGACCTCCTTTGCCAGTAACGCAATATGAGAATAGGTTCTTCCCCTTTAATCTGGCAACAAAACAGGTTTTAAGTTTTTAAAACTGACATGATTCCTTGTTAAAGGTTTAAGTTTGGTGCTTTGACAAGTTAACACCTGTTTTGTTGCCAGATAAAAGAGATAAACCCTATTCTCATACAACACTTGGGTCCGGGATCGCACCAACGACCTCCCGCGTGCCAGGCGAGGGAGTTAACATCTCCTCACCACTGATGTTAGATATTACTCACCACTGATGTCAGATATTACTCACCACTGATGTTAGCCGTGGTGGCTGGGGAATCTAACGCAAGTCGCTGGGCTGACTGCGCAGTGCATTTTCTGGCCGGTCATCGAACAAAGATTGAAAAGTATTTCTTGATAAGTGCTTTGTGTGTATAGTTTGTTGTCCTTCCCCCGCACCTATGATCATCATGGCTACGTACGGTGCCAAAGAATTTCAACATACGTGCGTACATTAACCAATGGTCCACTGCTCTGCCTCGCATGCACATTAATAGGTGCTCGCTAACAGCATTGACATTGAAAGTCTAACCAGACCAAACACTCCGCTTGTTGAAGTGTCCCCATGGTCTCACACCGGCTGTTGTTTTATTCTCCTGCTTCATTATAATTGTCCTCGATGTGCACGGTTCACGGTTTATATGGTTACACCGTACCGAATCTCGAGATGGTCTTTGTATTTCATTCATTATTCATATGTTAATGATTATTAACGCCCTCTGTATATTATGCGTGCGTGTGTAAGGTGTGTGTGCGTGTGTGTACAGAGCTTTGGCAGAGCAAGAGTGGAGTCCTGCGCTACAAAGCCGGCGATCGGAGATTGATTCCCACTCACGGCCTGACACCAGTGCCGATTATCTAAGCTGGTCCTGGCCCTCCCCTAAGTCGGCTCAGCCTCAAATGAGTACCTGGTGCCATGTGTAAAACATCACCACGAGGGAGACAAAGGCGGCTGGGCGTGGTGCCTGCCCCCATCCTCCTCGTGTGCCGTGCCGGCCTTCACAGGTGCTACTCGCCAACAACACTTTCCCCAACAGCCTGTTCAGGCTATACGGGGGATCTTTGTCTTTGTCTTAAGCTTTGATGGCAAATTGAAAGTCTTTTAATGCACGATGAGAAGGAAAGTGCAATTAATTCTGCACGCTAGCTCGTACGCATTTATCTCCGCGTGTCAGCTCGCATGCATGATTACGTTGCGTGCGTGCACGCGTTCATCCACTCGTTCCTGCACGTGTTCATTTCAGATTACATTCGAAATGTTGTGTCGAGACGTGTGCATCGTTGCGTTTTCTGAAACGTGTGCAACGTGAGAAACGCGTGCATGCGCGCACAATACACAACACGCTTCAGACGCTTGAAAACATTCAAATAACATTTTTTTTGTTAAAGTCAGCGTTTCCTTGTTCATGCAAATGAACGGTAGTGCTAATTTATGTTTACGCTACTCCCCCTTCCCCCTCCTAAGGAATTTCCATGATGAAAATTCCATGATGGAAATGGCACCGTTTTCACCGGGAGCAGTCTATCTGAAGCACAGGCCCCTGCTGCTTCCCACGAGACGAGAGTCGATACATCAACGGTGGAGAAAAACAAGTACGGGCCGAGTGAAAGTTTAAGTGAGCAAACCTTCCCTTTTGCGGGATAGCTGCTGGGCCGCTGTCGGGCAAGTCTCTTTTCTGTGAAGTAAAAACGAAACACCGTCGCCTGGCGGGACGGACATGGTCACTAAATGTTTGCAAGCACCCCGGACATCGGAGCACCGGCCTTCAGACGGTGCGTGCGTACTGTATGTACGTTGAACTTCTTTCACGCCGTACGTAGATAAACCGTGCTAATCGGAGGTGCCGAGGAAAGACAACAAACGAAACACAAAAAGCAGGTCTCAACAAATGAGTTTTCAATCCAAATGTAAAACGCATGCAGAGAGGGGGGCGGCAGCGGAGCGGTGATACACGTGCCTCGCTGCAAGGAGTCCCTGGGTTCGATTCCCGACTCACGCCGCCCTTCCGTGCGGAGTTTGTAGGGTCTCCCCATGTTCTGCGTGGATTTTCTCCGGGTTCTCCGGTGTCCTCCCATAGGTAAAGGCACACGGTGCCATTATTTAGGTGTCGGACCGAACAACCCAATGTAGGAGCCTCCTGGCTTTGCAGTGGGTCCAGCGCCAGTCCTTTGGACTTACACCAGGGTGTGGACACGCCGCGAGCCGCCCTCAGAGCCAGCATTTAACGTTCTCTGCTCTCTATCAAGGAGAGGGTGGGAGCCACGACTGCCGGACCCGCGAGGCAGCCCAGGTGAGGGCTCTAAACAAGAGCAGTGTGCATCTTATTCAAACACTACACTTACAAATCAAATATACAGTCAATCATTGATTATCCGGCGCGCGATTATTCGGCTGCATCCAAGATTACCCGGCGGTTCCTGGCCGATCCGGTGAAACCGGCAAAACGGCTCCAAACACATCATGTTGTTGAAACAAGAGCGTAAGAGTGCGTTCATCACCCCTGGCAGAGTCTTTAAGATTGGAGTGGTAAGTGTGTTAGAGTAAATACCGTGACTTGTTACTGAATGCAGAGTGACCCCATCACCCCGCACAAGAAATCTGCTCTTATCAAGACGCTCATTCATTGAGCTAGAAAGTGTCAGATGGTGACAGTCTGAGAAGTGAAATTCAAGATGTGAAAGAAGTGCTGCAAATGAACGGTTACAATGATTCACAAATCAACAGGGCATTGAATGCCAAAACAAAATCAAATAACACGAGCATTGAAACTGCCCAAGTAATTAAAATACCATACATTGTGGGAGTAACTGATAAACTAGTATGATGTTTGGAAAAACAAAACATTCGAGTCAGATTTGGCACGGTACGTAAAATACAAAGCTATCAATAGAAGGTGTGTACAGGATTAGCTGCAAGTGCGGTAAATGTTTGGTTGGGCAAACAGGATGAATGATCAGCACGAGACTAAAAGAACATCAGAGAAATATAAAATTATTCCAAATACAACTGTCAGCAGTAGCAGAACACGCGTGCCAACGAGGACACTCAATTGATTTTGATAATGTTGAAGTTCTGTACAAAACTAGCTACTACTGGACAAGACTAATTCGAGAATCTATCGAAATTGAAAGAAATAAAAATAACTTTAACTGTTCAGATAGCTACCGCCTTAGTGCTGCGTGGAAGCGAATCATCAAATAATTCATTATTTAAATGCATGCCTATACAGGCCACCATACTTGAATAGAGATTACCGTTGGTACAGCTATTTTAATACCCACAATAGACAGGAAGGCCAAGTTCAAAGGGCTCGCACAATGCATAATGTACGTTGACTCATTAATCCCCCCCTCCCACTTTGCGCGAGAGCGCAGAAGCGTGGTCACCACATCTACGCCGCTACATAAGGAACGAGACAGGTGGACTTGGCTCTCCGACACACCGGTTAGTGCTGTACTAGTGTAGGGCTGTTACAGAGGGGCTGTTTGTGTAGGGCTGTTTGCATGGGAGCTAACGGATAACAAACACAGTGGGCGGGGACTCCGTGAGCACACGGGGTGGTGCCCGCAACGACGTCCGCACTGGACGGCGTGAGGGGGGTTTCGATCCTCTAGGGGGGTATAAAAAGGGATGAGCCAGAGAGCTCGGGGTTGTGTCTTAGAGTAGTTAAGGGAAGAAGGAAGACCGGCCAGATAGGCCCTGGACTCCCCCTGGGACGCCGCCCTTGTAAGGGCAGCGCAGGCTGGAGCCAGTGGCGTGGTCCCGGAACCAGAGTTAGTCCTCTGGGATTCCGGGTACCGTAGCCCGACTGACCAGTGTCGGGCCAGACAGCCTCCCCTAGCCCGTTAGTGGAGGACTCGGCTAGGAAGGCTAGTTAGAGGTGAATTCCCAGTTATACGGGTGAGGGGGCCGATACATCCCTCAGCGCTGTAAGACATTGAGTAAATAAATACGTGTGCCTTACCTACGGTGTCCACGCGTCTTCAAGAGTACTTCACTAGTATACTACTCTACACTATACACTACACACTAGTGCTGTACTACTGACGAATTGCCACGTTCTGTTTACGTGACAACCCTTACTAGTTGGCTGTGTCAGGTTGTGGCGGGTTTAACGACACATTTAATATTTACGCAATCTAACCCAAAAAAACCCTATATTGTGTATGTTTATTTATACCAATTACACATAGTAAACAAACTTAAAACATAAAAAAAGCATACACAACACCTGTAAACATAATCTTACGTAAGAATGTGCAAAAATAATATATATTAAATCACGATTAATAGTGATTATCTGGTGTTTTTGAAAATCAAGCACCCCCTTCCCTCCAAAGCTGCCGGATAATCGATTATCTACTGTACGTACATATGCATGATTTTATATATATTTATATATATATTTACGTATAAAATAATTTATATGTGTGTGTAACGGGATACGTCGCTCGGAGGGACGTTGACCGATGGTCAGGGATAATAGCAGAGGAATTGAACGCGTCCGAGGGGACATCCACCACGGAGATGGAGCGGCGGCTGAGATCAGCTTGTATGCAGCTGTGAGAGTGAGGCTGCAATACAATGGGGGTTTGGTACGAAGTCTTACGAGACCGCGTACGGGCTGATCCACAGGTGTGGGATTGTGACTGGAGTTACGAATTAACATTACATATTTGCCCAAACTGCTTCTTCCTCAACCTAAATCATTAGCACTAATGAGTCGAACTCCACTGGGAACAGCACCTTAATTAGCCTGCCATATTCGGTGTAATGAATGCGAAGAAATATTGTAACATATTTGTAATTGTCACTGGCATTTTAATATATATATTTTTTCATTCGTCTAATTTCCACGATTGCTGTGGATACCTTAATTAGATTCTAAATTAAGCACAGAGAACCGCTGGCCTCGACAATGGTCCCACATGCCCCCTATTAGCCACTCTATACTGTGTTCTGAATTGCGTTCGTAATATTCTGTGTGCTGTGCATCGTATTCTGTCACATCACAGTGTTCTGTGCCTCTTAATAATTTCAACTCGTAACGCACACCGCACAGTATCCACTCACGTCTCAAAGAGAGAGAGAGAGAGAGTGGATGAATCTCCCTGCGTATAGCCACCCAGGGCAGTCTAATCGCGTTACGCCAGTGAGTTGATCAGTGGGTGCTCCCCACCCTCTTCCAAGATGTCTGGTCAGCGTGGAAGAGTAGGCCAAACACCCTCTGGAGGGCCAGAGAAAGCTCTAAACGTGGAGGTCTTCCTGCGAGCGGCAGTGACAGCAGGCAATTGCAGAGCTGCACCCTTTATCTTGGTACACTGTGCTCTGCGTATGTGTAATGACAGGGTGCCACCTGCCGGCCTGGACGGGTAATCGCGGGTATGGGCAAGGCTATGTAACAACTAATCAGAAGGGGGCGTATCTGGGTTAAAGGTAAAAGTTGGGGTTAGTCGGGAAGCTCCGGGAACCTGCTGGAAGGTTCTGGAAGGGGGCGTGGCCAGATGCGGGGCCTGGCCACGCCGAGAGGTATATAAGGGAGATGGAACCGAAGGTTCAGGGTTGTTGCAGGGTCCCGGGTCCTGGCTGCGTCGCTGCTCGCCGTTCATCTCTCTCCATCATCTCTCTCCATCGTCTCTCTCCCGTCATGTCTCTCCGTCATCCGGCCGCATGGAAGATCCTCCGCACGGCTCCCATCGCCGTCATCGTCACACCAGTCAGCCAGCCGTGTGGTTGGATGTAGGCGATGGGACTATGACGAGAGGTCGGCTGTGTGTAGCTAAACTAGAGACGTATCTATATATTACTCGGTGTTGTGCCCAGTGTGAGAATAAATAAGAAGCCATCTACACGAGGGGTCTCGGCAGTCGCTCATTACGTATGTATGAATGTGAACTTCTTTTGTGCCGTAAGCAGCTATCCGTGCTAAGCGTGGTAATTGGTACGCGAGTGGCTGCTCCTTTGCGTGCGTGCACACAGATAGTGGCGCGTCGATGCCGTGTACATTGTGGTCCGCATATCATGCAATAAACTAAAAACTATGACAACTAAAAAACATTTCGTGCAATGTTCTGCGTGGCACACCCCATTTCACCTCGGTGGTGAGATGTTAACTATCTCGCCTGGTATACAGGAGGTCGTGGGTTCGATCCCGACCCTGATGCCTGCTGTCACATTTGAAGTTTGCGTGTCTCTCTTCCCATGGTCGCGTGGACTTTTCTCAGGGTTCTCCGGTTTTTCCCACCACATTTAGAATGGACGTGCGTTTAGAGTATTTGGCTGCGATAAATATCCACACGATGAAAGCCAACTTCGTTGAGCTATCATTTGTGGTCTGGTCGCTTCTGTATAGCTCAGTGGGCCTTACCTTTTAATATAAATAGTTTTTTTTTTATTTCCTGTGCCCGTTTTCTGCACAGTGTTATAACCGCGACATTCACCCCCCCCCCCCCCCCCCCACCAGGGACGTTCGGTCAGGGGAGGCAGGGAAGACAGAGCCTCACCTGTCATACTCCAATGAAAATAGCTATTACTAAAAGTAAAAAAAAGAATAATCAAATAAAATAAATATTAAGATGTTTCCACTGATCTGTGTTATAAATGTCATTTATGTACGATTCCAATAAGTTTTATAGTCAAAATCGTCCAATTTGCGGAGCTCCGCTGCAATTCAGTTTTTTTAATCTCCTGTGCCCGTTTTCCGCACGGCGTTATAACCGCGGCATTCACCCAACGTGACGGGGGCGCTTGCCCCCCTCCCACCCCCTCCCACCCCCTCCCACCCACCCCCACCCCTGGGGGCCGTGCCACGCACCTTGCTCGTGAGCGCCGTCGGCTCGCGAGGCCGCGCTGCGGTGGCGGTGGCCGCGGCGGCGGCTGCTGCCGCTGCTTGCGGGTGCAGGCGGCCTGCCTTGGCGAGGCGGAAGGGGAAGCGGTTCCCCGTGGGGGGCAGCAGCGCCCCGGTGGGCGACAGCCGGGCCTGGAACAGCTGCCTCAGCACCACGTTTTCGCTGGCTGCACAACAACAGCAGCAACAACAACAACAATAATGATGTCAAAACAAGGAAGGAAAATCATGCGTATGGGTTCTGTTGTCGTCGTCGTCGTTGTCAGCTTGTGATTTCCCACTGCTCGGAAACCCCCCCCCACCCACCCACCATTCTCTCCCATTCCTTCCTTCCCTTCGTTGTCCTTGTCGAGCATTGAGCCTTGAACTCTTTGATTTCGATTCGCTAACTCTTCCGCCAATTCTTCCTCCGCCGTTTTTATATTCCCGTCTTGGCCTTTGCTCTCCAACAGCCGTTTGTCCTCGGATGTGTTTATTATTAGCAGCGCAGAAGCCAATGGGGTAGAGGGCAGGCCAAAACGTGTTCTTGCAAAATACATATTTGAAAATACAGTCATGCTTTCAGCACTGGTTTGTGTTAAAACCTCTTCAATCAATCACTACAATCACCACCATGAAAATCAACCGTCACCATCAACATCATCGTCACCGCGTTATCGTTTTATTGGTTCCGGATACACGCGCACGTCACATTATACAGCCCGCTCGCATGCACGCTCACTTACTCTTCATGACAAAGAGGAGGCTTTGAGGGAGCTGGTCTTTGTTCTTTGCTGCCGCCCCCGTGAGGTCGTAGGTGACCTGCGAAGGAAGACACCGGAGGGCGTTTCACGCACAGCTTCCACGGCTCCAGCGGCGCGAATTTCACCGCAGCCAGCTGACGCACCACTCAGGACGCGTCTGCTGTCATTCCCAACTCCGAACGGTGGTCCGGAAACGGGACAAGTCAGCCAGCAGTCACGTCGGTCTTCTAAGGACGCCACCCAAACCGATTGCGTCTCGTGCGCCGCACGGCATCATGTAGGGCCCTTTAGTCGATCCACTGCTGGATGAGGGCCTTTACGATGGGTCAGCGGTGGCTACGCACGTGGCCTGCGATCCACGACTGTGTCGGCATCGAGGGTTGGTGGATCAGAATCAGAATATGTATTTATACTGGAGGATGTTGTGGGCATCGAGCTGGAGCCATGCTCAGTACAGCAAGTGGACTAATCGCCATCTGTTTCCATCTTTATGGGGATAGAGTGCTGCCACGAGCAGGTCGGAACGAGACGCGGGCACTTCTTAAATAACGCCGGTTGTTGGCAATACCTCCCGTCATCCTAACTGGCCACTGAGAATTAATTTATTGCACGTTAAGGGTACCGCAATTTAATTAACGCTTTATTGTAATGGAGAGCAATGGTCCGGCACACAAAGGCACTTCCGAACGAGACGTGAGAGCCGTGTTTTTCATTAGATTTACACTCCCCCTGGGTCGGGTTTGTTTAAAGAAAAAAACACACCAAACGGCCAATTATTGTGAAATATCAGCGGTGGGCAGAGCACACCGAGGGCATGCCGTGGGACGGCGAGGTCTAGCGCCGAGGGTAGCGGAAGGCGACAACTTCTTGGCTGGACGGCTCTCCAATGCGCTCGCTGGTTATTTGGCAAGACGACCGACGTTTCGCTCCGCGCGCTTGGAGCTTCTTTGGGAGTTTAACATTTTACGCTAGCTTTCTGAAGAAGCTCCCGGCACAACCGGTCGATTAAATAAGTACCACTCAGTCGGACATTTAACGGTGGTTATCTATGGGGAATACCCACCCCCGCCATAGGAACGTGTAATGCCTACTCAATACTCAATTGAACAGGAAATCGCTGCGACTATTAATCCAGGGCGCGGCTGCTGGACTCGGACCGCAAACCGAGGCGGCGTCACCGCCCCACACATCAGGAGAGGCTCGGCAGACAGGGGTCAATACCTCTCCGGCAAAGTGCTTGATGGTGAAAAGGGTCTGGGCGTTGCCGTTGCGGTCCCTCCCCGGCATGCTGAGCACCCCGTTGGTGTGGCTTCTCTCCAAGGAGCCCTGTATCCTCTTCACCAGGGCCTGGTCTGACGGCTGAGGCGACGTGCTCTCTTCATCCAGGAGATGCAGCATGCCCTGCGGTCTCTGTGTGCCGCAGAGTAATCACAGGGTCATAATTATCCACCACCACCACCACCCCCGCGCCACCACCTCCTCCGTTTCATGGCGATTGTGCACGGCGGTGAAACCCTTCGTGTTAGGGAACGACCCACGGAAGTGGCTAACACAGAGCTACCTCTGAGATCTCTTTACTGTGCGGGCCAAACGTCTCTTAGAGGGCGGTACTTTCCCATCCGTTACGCAGGTGAGAGTGATGATCGTCGCATGGGAGTCTTTAAACCAATATATTGTCAGTTCTTCAATCGCACCTCCAATTAGCACGGTTGGCTACGTCACGGTGCGAAAAAAGTTTTACATACATACGAATTTAGCCAGAACCAAATGTAAAGTGATGGGTATTTATTCGCAATCATTCGTGACCGGGCTAAGACCATCGACTCACTACCTTCTACAGAACGGTTTAACCGCGACGCGGCTGCCTGGATTCGAACCCAGGATTCTCAGCGGTGCCAGCTCAACGGCCCGACCTGAGCCACCTCCCAGCGGAACTCCGCTTATTTTTCATGGGCGGGGGTCACTCGGGGACGCATTCATATCACGCACGTGTTACCCACGCACACAATCAAATGCGCACATCTCGTGGGTCTCACATGGGTAGAGCCGCCCACTACTATCGGAATTCGCAGAATGCCCCGGCGTGCGATTGATGAGGCCGCCGACCAATCATTGACTGCGGGCCCTGCCTACGCAGAGAGGTAAACCCTCAGCGTTCCCGCGGGCCCGTTCCCGCGCACGCGCCTGAACGCCGCCCTCCCCGCCCCAGAGAGAATCCCATCCCCGTGTCCTGCGCTGCCCTCTTGTTTAACATCGTCATTTGCAGCCGCTTTAATTTGTCCGTGTAGGTGCGGTACGTGGGGGAGAGGGGGGTGCAGTGGGGTAGCAGGGGAACGCAGAATCAATTTTGATTCACCGTCTGAATGTGTGTACCATCTGTGCAGTGCTATCCGGCGCCGCGTAATCTCCCTCCCCCCCCCCCGTTGCGTCCGTACGGGTAGGACGTGTACCGCGCGCTATTCAGCCACAGAGCGCGAAGAGCCTCCGCTCAGTCTTATCGACTTGCTGGGGAAAGTGATCTCGGCGAGCCGTTTCTAGACGGTGCTTTGTCCCGACTCTTCCGCACCGTCCAGACGTGATACGGCAGATCGACTGACTGCGGCATACGTTTTTTTTATTTGCTGCTGGCAGGAAAGAGGCGAGGCGCGATTTAAGATACGCGCATTGTTTCAACCTGTGGCAGCATCGGCCATGCGCGTTAGAAATGCATAAATGCGTGACACGCACTGACACGCGTTGTCTATTACACCTTCGCGAGTGCTGTTTGTTGCTGGCGGCTTGGCAATTTTTTGCCTTTGGGCTTGTGCACAACAACAACATGTACATATGTATATAAGAAGCACGCAAACGAAATCGCAAACAAAAGCACCCGTCAACAAATTTGGCAAAAGTCCAACGTGCGACACCAAAATATAGCCGGCGCAACAATTCTCCCGTCTCCGTGTGGAAAATACAAACGCTCATCCTTGGCACGGAACCCAATTAAGACGGCGCGGTGGAGGCGGCAGTGGCACCTGGAAGAAAAAGTCGAGGAGGCGCTGGTTGCCGTGGAGACTGCCGGTCTCCGTGGCGACGCCCTCCTGGGCGCACTGGGTCTGCTCCAGCGCGAAGAGCTGCAGCTCGGTGTGCTGCTGCAGCCGCTCGCTCGCCAGGTTCACGCACAGCTGACGTGCACGCGCACGCACACACACACACGCACGCACACGCACACACACACACGCACGCGCGCGCGCACAAACACACGCGCACGTGCACGCGCACACACACGCGCGCACAAACACACACGCGCACGCACAGATAGGCACCTGCACGCGTGCACACTGGCATGCACGCACGCACGCACAAGCCGGTCGGCACTTGTGCACAAATGCACGTGCATTTGTGCACGTGCATTTGTGCACGGGCGCATGCATACGCAGATAGGCATTTGTACACACAGGCACACACACATATTTACGTGCACTTTTACACACAATTGCATACAGGAATGCATGCACACGCAGATAGGCACTTTTACACACAGGCACACGCACACAGGCACACACATATATACGTGCACTTGTACACACAAATGCATACAGGAATGCATGCACACGCAGATAGGCACTTGGACACACAGGCACGTGCACGGATCTTCTACAAGCTGACATGTAGATGCTACGATTGGGTCGATAGAATGCTAAAATATAACTTACATAAACACCGCGTGCGCAAATTAGACAAACGTATGTTTTTCCTATCAGCATAGGAGTAAAATACAACTTAAGGTTTGGTCTATTGGCCTTCTTAAGCGAAAATTCATTATCGTTCCACACACATGTACGTATTTATATATTACTCATACATGAGTGTTTCAAGACATAGACTTGTTTTTTTTACTATAAAAAAACATTTACTAGAACATCTATAGCCAATTTGCCCACATAGGCAGCGTCTACTGAAACAATCTTGTGCAGGCAGTCCACACGGCTGCCCCGCTGCTTTCAAAGCACTCGTCAATGTCCCACCACTTGCCAGCTACAGATTCTTCTCGACGTCCCAACAGATTAATGAATCCGACGAGCCCGGGTCTGGCCTGTGTGACAGGTGCTCCAGAAGATCCCATTCAAACTGTCCCAGACAATTACTGCACCACCGGTACATGCCGTGTGCAGATTAGGGTTTGCCAACTATGACTTGAAGATATTCCGTGAGATTTTTTTCTTCTTCTAATTAATGTATTTTATTTAAATATCCGATTAAAATATCTTTCAATAGACACGGGGAGGTCGATGCCAATTCTGGTAGAGACACCGGCCAAACCTGGAGGGTTGTCAACTCGAGTGTAGGGGTACATGCTTGTCATGGAATTCCTTTAGATTTTTCTTTATGAGTATTATTTTTAAAGAAGATGGAATTTTCTGATGAAGTCAGGCATTTTCCAAAATCAATCTCGACACAAGCCTGCTTTGGGTGGAGTTGCAGCAGCAACTGGGCCATCATAAAAATGGTTAATGCCTCGATTGCCACATTTCTTCGATACAATATGAACTGTATTTACATCCTCAGAGTTCAAATGACAAAACAGCTTGTCGCCGTTCTCATGTGCAGATGAGCAACGGTGCCACCATCTCTGATCACGTTACGAGTCTGCCATCTAGTGGCAGGTATAGGAAAATCCATATTGCACGAGCACTGGCATCATACGATATTTAATGTACAATTTTTACGAAAAACTCGTTTTACATTTTACAAAATTACTATCTTTACGTGATAAAATATCCAATCCAGTTATGTTGAAATAATTGGGCATAAAATGGCTGTAATTTCACTTCTTAGAAAAGTTAAAAGTTACACTTTTGTAACATTTTAATTCCATTTTTATTTGTATTTTATGGAACAGCCCTTACTGGTATAAAACTCAACACACTGATCCTCAAACCTTGCCCATTAAATATAATTTAATAAACAGCTGTAGCTCACTGGCAGGTCCATACAAGTGCAAAAACTAAACTTGAATCGCATTCGAAAGTTCCAATGGGTTAGTAGCACATCTCCTTTGTAATGGAATCGTAGCTGCTCCACTATAGAGGCCATTCGATTTTCCAAATCCATTTTGATATTGTTCGAAGAGGATATCTGGTCCTTAGTTGAGAAGCCAGCTCACCCATACCTATTGTCCCCACCCACCCGCTACGTACTTTCACGCACCTCCGATAATCACGGATGACTACGAGCGGTGCGAAAGAAGTTCAACACAATCTTGATTTGAAGCTTTCGTGACTGCAGGAATCCATACTCTTTGGTTCTTTCGGTAAAGTCACGTGGGGTAGAAATAAAATAAAACGATTGCTTGTGTTGCGATCGAAACGTCGTGATTTGTTTTAATTTATTTCTAACTACGTGGCTTTACCGAAAGAACCAAAGAGTATAAGTTCAACACACACACACCTACCACTGCTACTTCTTCCACAACCCCCCCACCACGACCAAAACCAGCCCAACCCTGCGTCCAGAGGAGGGGGCGGGGCTTAAACATAAATAGGCGGGGCTTAAACATAAATAGGCGGGGCTTAAAGATAAATAGGCGGGGCTTAGATAAGAAGGACCCCGCACGAACGAGAGCCGGGTTCCACCCCAATGATCGAGATTCGAGTTGGCAACCTCCCGCTACTCTACGATGCCACGCGGCTGGAGAGTTAAAATTGCTGGAACGCACAATTCAGAGCGATGGGAGGACACGAAGTGTGCGGAGACTGGCACGCGAGGAGGTAGAGGTCTGCCAATAAAACACGTCCGCTGGCGCAGCCGCATGGCTTGCGGTCGTTTACCTGCTCGAAGGAGTTCTTCTGAAATCGCTCGAAGCCGCATATGTTGAGGATGCCAATTTCCATCGTGGGTTCGCTGCAACACAAAGCGTACCGGCGGTCAGGGCAGGAGACATCGCAAGATATCCTTCACCGTCGCCACGTCGATGTGCGGTGCGCACCGTATGGGTGGCAGATCAGCCACGTCGCACCTGACTGGACTGCCCAGCGTCGAAGGAACAGCAAGCAAGAGTGAACGCCCGGTGTTTATGTTTAAGATGATATTGCTACGTACGTGTAAGCATCTAGATTTGAAGCTTTCGTGACTGCAGGAATCCATACTCTTTGGTTTTTTCGGTAAAGTCACAGCAAGAAATAACATTATTGCCGTGGTTTTCCCACCTCATGATGATCGCTTGTGTTGCAATCGAGACGTGATTAATTTTATTTTATACCTACGTGACTTTACTAAAATAACCAAAGAGTATGTGTAAGCATGTTGGACTTCTTGCGCACCGTACGTAGCCAACGTTGCTAATCGTGTTTGTCCGCTGGGCGGGTTGTGCTTGCAGAAGGGCAGTGTAGCTTGATGGGCTTCACTGGAGAAAGACACTTTCTGGCGTCCCATACCGGTCGGTGCAGCCAAAGTAATTTCTTCCACAGGTGTCTTTGTCTTGACGAAAACCACTCACTGCCCAATGGAGTCAATCGAATCAAGTTGTCATTTATTTTTGCTTAAAAGCCAAATGCAGGGTGCTTCAAAAAAATGCGAAGACTTATATGGAAATATCGTTTTTAATGGTAAACAACGGATAAGAATACACTGTGACATGATAACAAATGTAAATGTTAATAGCTTTAAAAAGTCAAAGAGTCTCCACTTGTTCACCATCGTAGTCAACGCGTTGCCTGGAATCTTCTCCAGGTGGTCTCCAGAGCCCGGAGGCAGCAAATTCCCTGTGGTGTCGTTGCGAATTCTCGGAAGTGTTCACATTTTTTTAAAGCACCCTGTACATGAACAAGTATAATGACGCCTTTTTGCCAGTATCAAATATGTGCATTGCCTTTGACAAGGCCGTAGCCATGTTGTAGTCAACATTGGGCGGGACCAAATCTTCCAGGGGGTGTGGGGGTCCCCCCCCTCCCCAGAAAAAAAATATCTAAATTTGAAAACGAATTTCCTGCCTAAAATATAAAAAAATTCACTAACACATAGGATGGATTTTTTTTACAATAATGTCTAATAGCGTATTGTATTACATTGCTCTGTTTCTTTTTCCTTTTTTATTGTATGTATTGGCAGAGATTAGGGATTAATAAAGTACAACCATAACCACAATCACATAAACAGAAATCTATTTAATAGCAATATATTGGGGGGGACATTTAGAGCAAATTTGAATATTGTGATGTCCCCCCCCCCCCAATATATTATAATAACGGCCTTGGTCTTTGAAACTGATTGGCTTAGACTTACCAGTGTTAGACCAGAGCACGCTAAAAGGCGAGCTGTACAAAGACAATGCACGTATCAGAACATTTACAGCTTGGGGTGAGCAGCTATATAATGGGACCTTTTTTGCCAAATGAAAGTATATCTGCAGTATATATCAGAGTATGTTTTTTTTGCATGATCACCACAATTACGGTGTGTGGTTAATGCAGACTTTGATTCCTTGCAAAGGGAATCAATTTGGTGGTTGAACATCTTAACACCTGCTTACTCCTTGGTTCTTTCGGTAAAGTCATGTAGGTAGAAAAATAATGTATTGTTATTTGATAATTTTTTGGTTCTTTCCGTAAAGTCACGTAGGTAGAAAAAAAAGCACGTAGGTAGAAAAATAATAAAATTTATATATTTTTTTTCACGTAGGTAAAAATAATACAAATTATTTTATTGTTTTTTTCACGTAGGTAAAAAAAATTTTACGTAGGTAAAAATAATAAAATTTTATTTTATACATGTTTTGACGTAGGTAAAAAAATAATAAAATATTGTTTTTATTATTCTTCTACCCACGTGACTTTACCGAAAGAACCAAAGAGTATGGATTCCTGCAGTGACGAAAGCTTCAAGATTAACACCTCCTGTTTTATTGCCAGAAAGGGTAGACACCTATTATTATTTTTCATACACCAATGAGCATTTAGACGTGGGAGCAAACCGGAGCATCCCGGAGGAAAAAAAAAACGCACACGCGTGTGAGGAGGCGGGGGGGGGGCAACGCTATCTTCCGTGTACAGGTGGAACAGGTGGAGTCCACGTCCGCTTAACCGCCCTCTCCTGGCAAGCCAGGGTATTGCAACCATCTCCTCGGCGCCCAACGGGGGAAGGGAGGTTTCACGACGTTTCTGTTTGATCCACCAAACCCGCTCGCTTCCAGAGTGCTGGGATCACGTGCATAGCAGCCACCGCCGTCGTCTGAAGCTGATAGCTACCGGTCAACACAGCTCTCCTGCTTCCGCTCTTGTCTCTCAAATTAATATTTAAACAATCCCAAACATGGGCTGTCATCTTCTCAAAAATACCTCTGTCTGCTGCGGTGTTTCATGACCTTTCATTCTTGGGCCTTTTTGCTCATTTACAGCTTCAACGTAAACATTCGTGTCGTTGCTCATGTCACCGAGATCTGCGATTTCATCGACGCAACACAAGCCACTCCGCATTGTATTCTCTCACAATCTTGGATTGGCTCGAACTTGACCCAATTAGACATTGTCAAAACTGACGTCTTCCTCAAAGGTGATATTCCACTGCTGTTTCTATATCCTGTCTACTGCTGTGACCGATACATATATATGCCTTCACCACCTTCCTCTTGATACGTGTATGTATGTATGTTGAACTTCTTTGGCACCGTAATGTAGCCATGATAATCGTAGGTGCGGGGGAAGGACAACAAACTAAACACAAAACGCATTTCTAAAGAAATAACTTTTCAACATAGATTTAAAACAGCATAGCTCCAGTGGCTTCCTAATATTGGGAGGAAGAGCGTTCCAGACGGCCGCAGAAACGCATCTGACAGCGCGCGATGCAGTGAAACTTCTAACTCTCCTAGATGGTCTCCAGAAATCATTCGCCAATAAAATACATAATCATCGAGAATGTAACAGCCAAACTCATCACCCACGTCGCCCAAATCCTCAGATCCCTTCACGATTGTGACCGCAACAACCCGGCAACGATGGAGAGCTACCGTCTTCATTTGTGGTTACCGGCAAAAAATCGTCGGCATGGAAAGAGAGAGAGATTAAAACCCCACGTACACATTGCAAAAATTCAAATTGCTCAGAGTAAATGACACTGGAAGGTTAATGTCCGTGCTCAACTCCATTATGTAACCGAGGCCTGGACATGTGGAGGGGCAATTTAAGGTAATTTTCAGTTCAATTTGCTTCCACTTGTTTAGAACCAGGTGGAGTAGTCGTTTAAATCCACCCCCCACCCCCACTGTTCTGATGGGGGATTGGCAAAGCTGGATTTAATTGTGGTACCCGATTTTAATTACATTTATTTGCAGATGCATTATCAATCATTTTGATTCTGTCGATGTGTGTGGGCGTACAATGTTGCCTCTCTTGTGAATGATGTCACAGATTTCGTTGGTAGCAACCCCGCTCGGTAATTCGCTTTAGAATTTGCCGGGCCGAGCTGGAGCCGGTCGCGGCTTATGGGGCAGAGGACTTGGCCGGCATCGTTGAGTTCAACGGTTCAAATTAGTCTCGGTCACGGCCTTACTCGAGTTGACGACAACCTGCAGAATTTTAGTCGACCAGTTCTATGCTGATGTTGTTGTCGATGTTGCTGTCAATTTTAGTCAAGCCAATATTTTCATTTAACCATTCCCTTGGTCTAGTTGGCTGAAGCAATCAAAAATGTAGTCAAACACTCGCAGGTCTCTAAACGCCGGTGTGAGATGCGCACAATTCTCCCTCCACGACGCCGATATTATCAGCTCAGCCCATCGGTGAACTCCGTAACACCAAAAAACGTTGAATACAGAAGCAGTAAATAGCCTATTACCAGCTATGGTCCTTCCTCCTGTCCACCGCAGCCTCCAATAACATTACCGATAACTTGGGTCCGCGTCCTCATTCAGACTCGTTCGTCATTTCGTCTCGTCGCGGTCAGCGCTTCGGTCTCTGACGGGCGGGCAGCAGCCGGCGCGTCGTCACGCTGGACATATTTTCATCCACTCACGGCCAGCGTTGACAAAAGGAATAATGAAAAAAAGAATATTTGCCCCGCGAATATGTTCACCGCTAAATTTCTTCCGCGAAATTAACACCCGCGGTCGCGTGTCACCTCCCGCTAATAGCGCCGCCTGCCGCCGCCGTGCATCGTAGCGGTTGACGCGTCTTTGCGGGCCGCGTCGCCGCCCGTGCGATGGACCGGCGTGTCCGGCTCGCGTCGAATGCTGCAACGGTGACGGCGGCGGCGGCGCGCGGTGGCCGCGTGAGTAACGAGCGCGGGAACGACCGCAATCGATAAACAGCCGGCGGGAAATGTTATCGTTCCAAAACACTCCGCGAGGCCTCGATATCTCTCCGGCGGTCCTTTTTGAGGTGCGTGATAATGCAGTTCTTCACTCCTCCCAAACACAATAAATTTTACCCGAGTCCCAGCCCTTATCAGCGGCTCATGCGGGGCCGTGAGTGTATTAACATGTAAAAGAGATGTGTATGAAATGGGAACGTAATGTAGCGCGCGTGCGTGAGCCTGCCCGACGGGACAATGAAATATCTCTCTCCCGCGGCTTCTCGCCCGCGCTTGCCTCGGCAGAAAACGTTAATAAATAATAAATGACGCTCTATCGGGAGAGCGGTGACTCAAGCAAACTCCGTGCGGTTGTGCCGTGTTTGTGTGCGCGTGTTTGAGTCCTCACAGAACTGTATCACCGACAGAGGAAGCAATTCCGCACGGCAGCGGCGCAAGTGATGCCATCGTAAACACGGTGTGTGAGTTTAAATATGTGACGGGCACCACTGTATCATCATCATTGCATCGCCACCACCAGCACGCCACAAGTCGACATCTAGAAATACGAGTGGAGAGAGGTAAGCAGAGACAAGGAGTCTCTTCGAGATGGTGAGGGCAATCGCGATCCGGGATCGGACTGGAGCCGGCTGAGCAGTCTGCGGATTGGGGTGTCGCGGTTTAATTTGCAGCCCAGGAAGCGGCATTACGGATCATCTTGAGTTTGGAGGCGAGGACTTTGAGGACACGTGCCGCACACGAGGGAGCCGTGGCAGTTGACGGAAAATTAGCAGAGTTCAAAAAATAAAATTTGTCAAGCTACTTGGTCAGCGGACTTCGCTACGTTGCTTTTGTGTTTAGTTTGTTGTCCTTCCCGGCAACTCCGATTAGCAGGGTCGGCTACGTACGGCGGCGCGAAATAAGTTCAACATTCGCGCAAAGCACAATTAAAAAAAAATAACGAGTCGGTTAAATAGCGGTAAACGTGTCAAACACAAAACGGCGCCGGGGAGGCCGAGACGTACCTGCCAGCGGCCGCCTGCAGGTAGCGGTTGGCGCCTTGGACGAGGAAGCCGAAGAGGCGGCCGTAGATGGCCCTGGCGAGGAGGTCGCGCGCCCACGACGCCGCCTCGGCGCTCAGCTTGCGCGCCAGCAGCTCTCCTGCTGCGGCAAGCACACGTGGACCAGGTGGGGGGGGGGGGGGGGTGTGGACCAGGTGGTGGGGGGGGTGGACCACGTGGGGGGGGGTGGACCAGGTGGGATGGTGGACCAGGTGGGGGGGTGGACCAGGGGGGGTGGACCAGGTGGGGGGGGGTGGCCCAGTTGGGGGGGGGTGGACCAGGTGGGGGGGGGGGGTGGTGGGCCAGGTGGGGGGGGGGGTGGTGGACCAGGTTGGGGGGGGTGGTGGACCAGGTGGGGTGGGTGGACCAGGTGGGGGGGGGTGGACCAGGTGGGGGGGGGGTGACGGACCAGGTGGGGGTGGACCAGGTGGGGGGGGTGGACCAGGTGGGGGGGTGCACCAGGTGGGGGGGTTGTGGACCAGGTGGGGGGGGGGGGGTGGACCAGGTGGGGGGGGTGGACCAGGTGGAGGGGGGGTGGACCAGGTGGGGGGGGGGGGGGACCAGGTTGGGGGGGGTGGCAGTTGTTTGATGGATGGTTTCTGCTGCCCGGTCACGTTACCAGGTAAGGCCCACTGAGCTGTAAAGCTCTTTTACAGAAGCGACCTGGCCACAAGAGACAGCTCAACAAAGTGGCTTTTCACGTGGACATTTACAGCGGCCAAATACTCAAAACGCGTGACGTTGACTCGAAATGTGGAGGGGAAAATCGGAGGACCTGGAGAAAAATCCACGCGACCACAGGGAGAGAGACACACGAACTCCAAATATACAGCAGCAGGCGTCAGGGTCGGAATCGAACCCACGGCCTCCTGTAGACCAGGCGAGGTAGTTAACATCTCGCCACCGTGGCGCCCCTTCCTGATCCTCTTCACACCACGACAGCTCGCCGCTCACTTCGTGACGCCGCTTCCGTCCGTCTGCATCTCCATCGCTGATCCTCAGCCAAGGTGAGTTAAGGCAATGACGCAAGGACAATAAGGGTAGGCCTGAACTAAGTCTATTTGGTTGAACGATGTAAGAGAACTCAAGAGGCCAGGATGTAGTCTGATTTGCAAGAGCGATCCTGGGTCAGCAAAAGGACAAAAACCAGGTTCGCAGCGGTGCCAGGCTCAGTGCTGTTGATGTCCGAAGCCATCCCGGGCCGCGGGATCATGGAGCCTCTCTGTCACAGATTGCTGTGCACCGCTCCCTCTGGAAGAAGACCGCGTGGCCCATCGCTCACACGTGCATCCCTGCTCGAGCCCACAGCTGTCCCCTACGCCAGATTGACCACACCGTCTGCTTCAGCCACGAGGCCATCTGCATTAAGGAGTTGTGCGGCCGTAATCGCTTCACCACCTTGGGCCATTAACGCCGCTTTTATAACACCAGCGTACAGAGTTAGCTAACGATGTAAGGAGGCAATGGCCCTTCTGGAAGAAAAAAAAACCAGAGAGAGCGTAGCCAGATTGGCTAACAGACTGCAGTTTACGAGTGCAATGCCTGGAAACCATTGCAAATGTTATAAAAAGCTGACAGTTGCGAACTGATGTCGCCAATAAAACCATCTCCATTGCTAAATATCAACTCTTTTGTTTTACCAGGTAAGGCCCACTGAGCTGTGTAGCTCTTTTACAGAAGTGACCTGGCCACGAAAGATAGCTCAACGAAGTGGCTTTTCACGTTGATATTTACAGCAGACAAATACTCTAAACGCGCGATGTTGATTCTAAATGTGGAGCGAACAACCGGAGGACCCAGAGAAAAAAATCCACGCGACCACGGGAAGAGAGAGAGAGACGCAAATTCTAAATATACAGCAGGCATCAGGGTCGGGATCGAACCCACGACCTCCTACATACCAGCCGAGGTAGTTAACATTTCCTAGCCACCGCGCGCGACGATAGCGCCACAATTGTCTCAGCAGCGAAGACGATTGCGGTGCAGTTATCAGCGTGGTCGAGCAGAGACAATCCCTCACTCACGCTTCACTCTCAGCGGTGCTCGGGTCAATCGGTCTGCGGACTCAAGCGGACCGACACGACCGACTGTGGATCTCGGCGAGCCACCTGCCGTGCACAGCGCAACGAGGGCTTCCCTTCTGCTGCCCCAGTTCCTCCGGGAATTCGCGCTCTGCGATGATAGCGACGCCGAGGGGCAGCTCTCTATAATGCATGGGATCCCCAGAGTGGAGGGGCGGACGCGTCCACATGCTGTGTTGGCTAGCAGCTGCCGCTACCGCCTCCACTTGTATCCACCCAGCACAGAAGCTCAACTCAACGCTGCACCTGTTACTCTAACATAAGACAGCGCCACTGGCGGAAATGTTCAGAAAACTCCAGATATCGCTCGAGAAAATCCAACGACTCACTCCTCCACCCACATCTTCTACTAGAAATGGCCGGTGGTGTTCGCTCAACCGTTCACCTCACATTTGCTCATCCCAACAAGGAGCTCTGTATATAAGTAGGCATCGGACCTGTAATGCCGGGCAGTGTGTGTATCGTTGGAACGTACCATGCGTCAAAAATGTTCCTAAAGAACATCTAAAAAAAAAACAGTTTAATTCACGGTCAGCGAACCCAAGACGTACGCAACGCGATACCTTTAGTGTAGATCGTGTCCGAGGTGAGGGCTGTGCCGAGCTCCTCCGGAGACACTTGCAGCATGTAGGCGACTGCCAAGAAAGTGACGGCCGCGGGCGTGAGCAGTGGACACGTGCGCGCGGTTACACAGAGATGCTCAAATCATCCAACTGTTCCAGAACGCGGCACGTGTCCTCGTCAATGTCAATCAGCTGCGTCCGTCACGAGAAAGTCAACGGCACGCTGGATCGCGACACATCACAACGGGCAGCAAACGTCACTGTGGTCACATTTACATTTTAGCTTCCTGTCCACATTCCGCGTATACATGAATCCGCCACTTGCACAGCAGCTGGGCATATATATCTACACACATAAAGGGACACAGAAGCGAGGCCCATAAAGCCACAACTAAGGCACCTTTTAGATTCTTACAGTTAAATTTTAATGCCAGAGGTTCAGAGCAAAATAAATGAACAAGAAGTTGTTGTGACGTTCTCACCCCGTGCCCCTACCAGACATCTGTGAAGAAGAGCTTTACAGCTCATCGGATTCCTCCAGCATAAATTCATGTTCCGATTCTGGTTGTATGTATGTTGAACTTCTTACGCACTGTATATACGAATCGGAGGTGCGGGATCTGATTGGCGTTGGGCCACGCTCCTTGAGGCCTGCCCCGGGACTCCTGTGGGTTGTACCCCGTGATACTGGAGCGTGTTTCTCAAACTTTCTTGGACCCACGGACCACTCAGCCGATGCAAACATTTCCACGGACCACCCAGCTCTTAAATGCCAGTAATACAAAATGATTCCTTCTGTGTTACCGGAACATTTTTTGTTAAACGCAGCTGTAAGTTTTTTTTTAGGGTGAAGGCATTTAGATCTTACGGTGATGGTAGTTTAATCACGGCAGACAACCTAATTCCATTTTCAAATTCAATATCCTGAGTCAAATATGAATTAACGTCCGAAACAAAAGTTATCAGCATGGTCATTATTTCCCGATCAACGTGCGTTTACACCACCGCCCCGCAGACCACCTGGAGGAACATCCCAGACCACTCGCTGGTGGATCCAGAGGAAGCACACTCTGATAACCACTGGGCAGAGGAAGCACACTCTAATCACCACTGGGCTGCAGGGACGATCCTGGGAGCAGAGGCAGGCGCCCCACACTCAACGCTCTTCACTCATCAACAAACACCGCCGACAAACGGCTCCACGCGTCGGCGCTGGCGATACGAGATGGGCCAGAGCACATTTACCGGTGTTGAAAAAAAAATCAATCACGGTTTAATGTCTTTTATTTGAATAGATAATAGCCCACTGATGTTAATTTCCACTTTTACAAGGAAAACGTGAGAAGTTGAAGATGCAGCGGTGGTTAATTTAATTTTAACAGATCTATGGGGATATCTTTATCAATCAGCGTGGAATCTTCCCATTTAGGGTCAGATACACGTCTGGATAAGACAGTATCGAACACAGTCTGGTGGGATTCACCCCACCGATGGTGACAAGAGCAATTTTTACTCAAAATTATTTGGACAATTTTATTCGGCTTTTGCCACTCGATTCATTTATTGACCTCTTGTGGGCATTCCTGCACAGCCTCAATCGCGGGCAAAACCAGCGAGTTACGTGAAGAGAAAGGCACGATTCCCTAAAGCAAAGCCAGACACTTAAGATATATTCTTGCCTGTACGGTATACAGAGTTTTGCTCGTGTGTCTATACGCAATTAACACACGGAGAGAGCAGTACGTGTTTTTATTAACAGGAATTCAAAGGGACCGAATTCTTTCGTCGTAAGTGTCCGCTTGGTACCTTCATGTGGTTAAGGTGCTCGCTGTAGCCACGCCATTTACGATGTTACTCGAGCGGAGGCGGTGCAGGCACCGCACCGGAAGTAATGGTTTTGATGCGTCAAGGAAAGGGAAACAGACGTCGTCTTTGGTTGATTTCCCCACCGGCCGCGCGGCTCCGCGCAAGTGAACGCGCAGGAACCCGTTGCGCTATCGCTCCCCGTTGACCCATCGTGCCGGGGGCGTGCGTGCACAAGCAAACGTCCCGGCAAACGCGAAGCCGCGTGCCGGATCGCACGACGCGGAAGATGGATCGTGTGCGCTGGCCATGCAGAAGCGATGCAGATGACAAGTTCTTTCTGAACGGCTGTTGATTTCAATTGCAGTTGCTGCCATATGGAGGGTCAATGATGAATAGCACGTCGAAGTTGCAATGCAGAGTTTTACACGTCGGTATCCCTGCGCGGCAAGGTGGACGTTGGTCGAATTTCTTAAATTCTCCCTGCCGCTGTTAACCCAGCAGATATATATGGAGGACAGTGAACAGCATTATCTCAAATGTTTTATTTCCTTATCTTATATTTATAAAGCGCCGTTATCCAAGGCGCTTTACGAGGGATATGAGTGGTACAATGAGGGTAGTTAAAAGTGATACGGCGAACAGGGATGGGGTATGGGGAGGGAGGTTCGTGGGGGAGGGGATTACGGGGGGTACCTCGGGATGTATGGAACGATGGGCCAGGCAGAAGAGGTGGGGGGTCTTGAGGGAGGAGCGGAAACGAGACAGGGAGGGCGCTCGCTTCATGCGGAGGTGAATTTTGTTCCAGTTGCAAAGAGGGGAAATTAAAATGGCAGAACACCACGTGGCTTGTGTGGGCATCGTTCTACGCTGACTGGTCACCGTTCGTTTTCACTCAAAATTGCACCCAACTAAGACCCATATTTTGCTCTATGCGTCCAACGCTCAAGAGCACACAATTGGATTGCCGCTCATTCAGCTCTAACTGTACCTATTACATTAAGCTTCCGTATAGGAGCATAACGCCATTGCGTGTCTCCACGGAGATAAAACAAAATGAGTCACAATGCAGTGGCCTATTGGCTTTCCAGACCATTATCATCCGGCAATATTTGTTTAAGCAAGCAACACTCTGGAGCGGTTTCCACCTTCTGGGTCTCTTCAGACGTCAAGGATCGTTGAACAAATGCAACTTTGCTACGAGGTGTTGTTAGAAAGTGCACGCCAAGTCTTGTCTTGAAGCTTTCGTGACTGCAGGAATCCATATTCTTTGGGTCTTTCGGTAAAGTCACGTACCTACGTGACTTGGGGGTCGTGCATAAATGACGTCACGCGATTTTGGACGATTTTTGACCCCCCCCTTTCGTCACACGCGGTCACAAAAAGTCTAGACCCCCCCCCTCAAATATGACGTCACAAAGCTCTGCTCCCCCCCAAATAAAACATGCTTCAAATCGCTTTAAACTATTGTCATTGTAGTGCGTATTTAATGTGCCGCTGCACCCTGATGTTGTAGGAGAAAACATTTATTCAAAAGTCTATTTAATTAAGTAGAACGTGTTGTCTACATTTATTTAAAGTTGCGCATTTTGATGTGACGTCACATTTCTCAACCCCCCCCCCCCCTCGTCACACATCGTCACAAATGTCTGACCCCGTTCCCCTCCCCCCCCCCCCCCCTTAGGTGCTTGACGTCATTTATGGACGGCCCCTTTAGCCAAAAGACCCAAAGAATAAGTGCACGCCAGTCAAACTACCGGTCGTGCTGTATTGCATTGAGAGTGAATCTCATGGCGGGAAGCGTCACAGCTCTGAGCGCACGTTCCTCCCCCCTCTGCTGGTACAACTCAGGGTGGCAGGGGGCGCTCTCGATGCATCCGCTGCGTTATATAATCCCTCGCAGTGGCACCCAATCGGACAAATCTGCGCGCTAAAAGTTGGCCATGTAAACCCAGTCAGTTTGGCATGGTCCCCACATGCCCCGGTAGACGATGAAACAAGGCTCTGTTGAGAATACACCACAATGGCTTGCTGTGCTCACTCACCTATATCAAGATACATTCATCAATTGATGTGCTTTGCTGAAATTGCAGCATTGGCGGTGCTCAAATTTGTTGGTGTCTCCTTAGCCAGCGATAGAAATTCCACATTAATATGGCAGATGCTATGACGGGTATGTTAGATGCAGATCGCTAAAACGAACCCATCAAAACGATAAAACAGGGCCACAAAATTATCAGCGTTGGCTTTCCGACGCGAATACATCAATTCGACTTTAAACTTTTAAGTGTGACGCTCGGTATTTTAATACGCAGATATTTCATGGCCACGATAAATCCCTGCTTGCATTTTAATCAAAGCACTGTACTAAATTAAGGGGGGGGGGGAAATGCCATTTTTAATTAGGGGCACCGCCACGAAGCTGTGAATTTCAAAATGCCACCCTGCCATCGTGCCCGCGGTACAATATCGCGGGCAGTAAAAAGCGTGCCGTAATGAATTTTTTGCCGAAACCAGTAAATTCCCCCGTATGATATCTTGACGGAGGGCTGAAGGGGGTCGCGAGCAGACATCTGCACGGCGCGTTGGGCTCCCGTCTCTCGCCGGGAAATCTGCTCGTCGTTTTAATTACGAGGGGCTGGCCGCAGATGCCCTGTTTGGCCAGCTACGCCTCCTGGCAGCTAGAGATAAGCCCAGGGGCCTGGATCTGGCCAGATGGCCTTCAGCATCTTTGGCTACACTACAGCTAAACCGTGGCTTGGGGATGGGAAGGGGATATTCGTAACACTACTATACGTGTCTTGAAAGGGGGCAGGTCTTTGCTTAATGTTTCAACACAGATACACCAGGGTCAAAGGGAACTTATCAGCGGGTGTGCTAGCAGGGCTTGTTGTTGAGGTATGTGTATATGTACGTTGAAATTCTTTCGCATCGAACGTAGCCAACCGTGCTAGGCCAGGGGTGGCCAGGGGTGGGGATTTTTATGAGAATAGATTGTGTGGTAAATGGTTGAACATTTGCAGGATTGATATTTCTGTATATTGCGATGCATAGGGCAAACACTTGTCAGTCTTCTTGCAATACCTCTTCGGTTGAAGTCAATAACTATAGACACATATTCAATATCATTATCCTACGAGATGATTGTGAATTCCAATGCGAATTTTGATGGTGGCTGGGTACCACTTCTGACATCCGGAGGTCCCCTAGGCTAAAACAAACTCCGCTCAGAGACGTTTTGCTATGTTATGGGTGCAGTATAAATGCAA